TGTAGACAAGAGCAGTGTCTTGCCCACATTCTTAGTCTTGCCATATTCATAGCAAACTCCATAATGAGTTTCTTCAATGTCCATCTTCCTTTCTGACAGGTGATGTTGCCAGGAGCAGTTATGTATCACTCTCAAGAAAAACCCTAAACCATTTTAAATGCCATATTCTGTAAGTCTTTGAAAGGTTTGAAGAATTCCTATTCATTTCAAATACATCTCTACATATCTAGAAATCTAACTAACCTAACTGTAAGTTTTGATTATTATAGGTAACTCTCTATAATCTGTACTAAATTATACATTACATTTTTAAATTAGCTATATAAACACAATAACTAAACAAGAAGAGAAATATACATATCACAAAATTGACCTTAAATTGTATCAATAAATAAAAATCCATTACAAAGCAAAATATTCATATCTATACCATAATTTCCATTTTAATTTTAAACAGGTTAGTTGTGGTCATTAACCATTTATAACCAACACCACTAAATGAAAACAAACATTTAGAGACAATATTAGGGAATTTGGGCATTGTTCTTTCCAAACTGCTTCCTGCTTGTAGGTGCTTCTCTAATGGGGAATCCTAAGAAGACACAGAAATACAGTCTTCAGTGGTCTGTAAGGTTGCCTTGTACCAGCTGTTTAGATGTTGTATCACATGGGACGCTGTTTCAGGGGGTCAGGCTTGATCAATCCATGTTAGTCTGGAAGGAATCCACAGCTTTTCATGTTCTGTGGAAACAGAAATAGAAATTCTTTTCCCCAGTTACCTGTTCTTGGAAGTCAAAGCATTTTTAAAATAAATTGAATTAATCCAGCAGTATTTTTTAACGGTTGTTATTTCCTCAGCAAACAATTTAAAGATAATACAATAGCATACAGTATCCAGATTATTTTTGTGCTTTCCATCTTTACATGGCTCTTTATTACTCTATTTCTTCTACTTCTATTTTTTCATTTTTGGAGACAGGGTTTCTCTGTGTAACTTGTATCTGTCCTGGACTTAACTCTGTATGCCAGGTTTAATTTGAAATCACAGAGATCTGCTTGCCTCCATTTCCCGAGTGCTGGAATTAAAGGTGTGTGCCACAATACCCACCTACTCTGTTTTTATTATTCTTTTTTAAACCATTTTATCCTGTTTCTTTTTATCTCAAAGCCTAAGTATATTTTAAAACACACTGTAAACCTTTAGAGGTTTTTCTTAATCTGAATCTGTCAATACTGTAAATCTTTATCTGTTTCTGTCCACAAGTCTTTTATCTGGTAAGCAACATAGGTCAAATGAAAGCCATAGCTCTATTAGCCACAGTCTATCAAAGATGGCAGCACGTACTTTTACCTCCAGAACGGAGAGCTGTGCTCACTGCCATGGTCTATGCTACCATCTAGTAGCATGCTGCCGGCTTGGAGATGTGTTCAGTGCCATTGCCAGATCTCGTACACACAAATGAATTTTTAGCATCACTTCTTAAAAGCCATTTGGTTTTTTGCTGCTTATGCTGAGTCAGGAAACCTCCCTTAAAGAAGCTGGGCAATTCTCTGCTTGTCTCTAGGAAAACAGATTGCAATCAAAAAAAAAATGCTGCTACCATAAAGCCTTGTCTGTCTTTGTTGTTTTGTTTCTAAAACCCTTTTAAAAGCTTTTCTTAAGTTTTAAGTGAAAGTTCTCATTAGCCATGTTGGGCGCCATTTTGTTATGAGCAGTTTTCCTGCCAGCCTGTCCTCACTGCCCCACTCCACTCAATAACACACAAAGATGCTGTATTAGATATAATTCTGTTGGCCAGTTATTAGTTTCTTAACAGCTGGCTCTGTATTATATATTAACCCATTTTCATTAATCTATGGATTTCCACAAGTCTCTTCTTACCAGAGAGAGTGCTTGGTGTTCTACCCTCTTTGTCCTCCATGTTGAATTTCCTCCTACCTCTTCCCAAACCCTCCTTGTCTTCTAGTACCACCTTTATTGCTTTCCTGTTGGCCAACAGGGTTTTATTCATTAACCAATTAGAGAAACATATTTATAGAATGACTGTTATAAGCATGTTTTCCTGCCGGCCTTGTCCCACCACTGCACCAGCCCCAAATAATACACAGAGATGCTGTATTAGATACAAAACTATTGTTTAGTTACTAGTTTCTTATCGGATAGCTCTGTCTTAAATATTAACCCATTTCTATTAATCTAAGTGTTTTCATGTGGTCTCATCTTACCAGAGAGAGGGCCCGGACTTCTGATCTCTAAAGCCTCTATATGTTGACTCCTCCACACTTCTTCCTCTCTACTTCTAGTCCCATTATTCTTGCTATATTATTGGCCAACAGTGCTTTATTCATTAACCAATAAGAGAAACATAGTTACAGAATGGCATCTCACATCACATGTTTCTTTGGGGTTTAGAGTTTTCTGTGAAGCCATGGCTGTATTGGAACTTGATCTGTGGCCCATGCTGTACTCAAACTAGAGATCCACCTGCCTCTACCTCCCCAGGGTTGGGAATAAAAACATGTGCTACCAATACCAAGCCACTTCTATGATTCTTAGCTAAAGAATATTTCAATAATTAAATATGAAAATTCCTTGAATGTTCAGTCACAATCTTTTCTTCACAGATTTTGCTTTCCGTTACCAGTGGGTGACATGAATTTTCTCTAAACAGATGGAACTTTCTCAAATTCTACACTGTGTTGGCTAATTTTGTATAAACCTGACACAGGTTAATGCTATTTAGAAGAAGAAATCCAGAATATGAAAATTCTTCATGAGATCTAGCTGTATGTAAGTCTCTAGGGCATTTTCTTAATTTGTGATTGATTCAAGGACTCATAGGCATTCAAAGGGTGGTATTTTCCCTGGGATATTTATCCCAGCTTCTGTAAGAAAGCAGGCTGAGAAAGCCATGAAGAATAAATATGTAAAGAGAACTGTTCTCTGCTGTCTGCTTCAGGTTCTGTCTCCAGGTTCCTGCCCTGCTTGAATTCCTTTGATGATGAACCAATGTGGAAGTGTAACCTAGGAAACCCTTTCTTGATAGACTTGCTTTTAACCATAATGTTTATTACAGGAATAGAAACCCTGACTAAGATGTTCAGTATTATTTCTTAGGCCCTGATTGTAGAACAACTACCTAATCTATGACTTCTACCTAATTGGGTGCCTAAATATTTTGTTCCTTAATCAGATATATTTTCAATGTTCAAGTACTTGTATTTTATTCATAATTTAATCCTGTGAGTGTTGAGTTATCTCAGCAGTTATCCTACATTGCCATTTTTTTTTCCAGAAAATGATCCAATCCCATCAACTACAAATAGTTTAGTTTCAGCCATGCATACATGTAATTTGGAACATTTATATTCTCTCCCTCTCTTCTCTCTCTCTCTCTCTCTCTCTCTCTCTCTCTCTCTCTCTCTGTATTTCCCATATACTCTTTGTTCTTCAGACATGGATATTGTTGAGCCAATAATATATTTACATTTATTGGAAAAATGGAATATATGCATTCTTAACAGGCAGAAATTTGTCTTGTTTTCTTTTTTTGTTTTTTGTTCACAATTTGAGTGTGGTTCTAATTTGCCAAAATCTTGAAAAGACTAAGAGAGATGGAGAGGTGGTTCTAATGTTCAGACCAACTACTGCCCTACCAGAGCACTGGAGTTTGTTTTCCAGCATCCATGTCAGGCATCTCACAACTGCCTTTAACTATAGCTCTTTATCTCTGGTCTCCATTGACATCCCTACACACTTGTGTACAAACACAAAGGTACATACACATACACTCACACACACACACACACACACACATACACACACAGAGAGAGGGAGGGAGAGAGAGAGAGAGAGAAACACACAATACAAATAATTAAAAATAGTAAAATCTAGCCAATTGTAGTAGACATGTCTCATATTGAAGCATTCAGCAGGTAAATGCTGGTGGATCACAGCCAGCTCAAGGAATGTCTGATCTACAGTGAGATATCTCATGTAAACCAGGGCTTCACTTGAAGACCCTGTCTTGGTCACAAATTTTGAACAAAAATCAATGTCTTAGTTTGGGTTACTATTTCTATGATGAAGCATGGTGACAAAAACAACTTAGAGAGGAAAGACTTTATTTGGCCTAAATTTTCAAATTGCTGTTTAACATTGAAGAAAGCCAGGAGGAGAACTCGAACAGGGCAAGATCCTGAAGGCAGCAGCTGATGTAAAGGTCATGGAGGGTGCTGCTTACAGACTTGCCCATCGGCTTTCTCATAGAACCCAAAACAACCAATATTAGGAAAGGAAAGAACTACAAAGACTGAACCCATCATGACTAATTTTCAAATATGCCCTATATGCTTGCCTATAGATGGATGTTATGGATGCATTTTCTCAACTAAGGTTCCCTCCTCTAAAATGAATTTAGCTTTTTTGAAGTTGACATAAAACTATCGAGCACAATAAGGAATTTTCCTATGTAATAATCACTTTCACTTTTATTAAAACTATAATTACTATTTTCATAGTAACATTTTTTATTTTGAGAACATATTTGAACTTAAATATATATATACATATATATATATATATATACATTCACACATACACACATACACACACACACACACATTGAGTATGATTAATGCATGTTCCTAATCAGGATGTATTAATCATCAAAGAGTTTTCTTCTGTCAGTGTTTCATGTATCTACTGTTTTAGAGAGATATGGATAAATATAATTAGGATTATGCACTTCACATTACCTACAAAATAGCTTGATTTTGTTTCAGGCGATTTATACAGGAGGTTATGAATGCAATCCATTAACACCCAAACAATAATAGATCGCAAAGCACATAGATGCCTATCTTATGTCATTAAATTCAGAAAAGACTGTTAATAAGTTTTAAAACTCATGGCTGCCTATCTTATGTCATTAGATTCATAAAAGATTCTTGAGTCCCTGCAGCCTGGCAAACATGCACGCATGCGTTATTACAGAGTTGTATTGATTCACTAGCGCAGAATGGGGGTTGGGAGTGTGATGCAGCAAATCAGTGCAGCAGCAGGTCCTGCTCAGAGGAGATGGAAAGATGCCTGTCGAATCCACTTGAAGAACGGTCATCATGACAATGCAGCAACAAAGGTTAGCCCCTCTGTGCCCTGTTGTATGTTTCATAGATTATGTTTGCATATTAAGTATTATAGTTATTAAGTATTGCATATTAAGTATAAATCTCTATGGGTTACATCATTGTTGTAGAGACCTAAAATCTTTTGGCTGTAAAGAATAGGAAAAAACAAAATATGCTCTCTGATCAGGACCTGACTTCCTTTGTCTTCTACTGTGTTGTGTTGACTGCAGAATATCCCTTCTTTTGCTACCTGTGTGTTCTCTCTGTCCAGTTGTCTCCAGTCTCTTCGTTGGTGCCCATTTATATTTCAAATTTGAGGTAGTTATGGTGGATTATGACTGTGGGAGTAAGAGCAATGACAACAAAAATGAACAAGTGTTGTAGTATGGGGATATTGCACAAATTTGACAACCTAACAAGATAATTTCAGTTTCTGCTTGCCACTAAAGGATTCAAGGTGATGAAGGCAGGAGAAAGGTAACATACAGATGAACATATAGTATGTGTGTGTGTATAGGTCATAGGGAGGGGTATTACAGACCGTGGTCGGTTGGTTCTGCTGGTTTCTGATGGTTGGACACTAAGCTTAAGTATAACATCTATTGCTAGGGTAGTTAAAATAGAGGAAAGTGGTTTCCAAATCAGCTGTAAGAGAGAATTGTGGACAGAATGAATTAGAAAAAGAGAGAGAACAAGTGTGTGACTGTGTTTGTGTGTGTGTGTGTTCCACTTGAGTAGTATAACTGAGTGGATGATGTATCTGCAATATGCTACTTCATGGAAATAGGAGGGTTTTTTTTCTCACAAAGAGCCATTCAGTATACACAGAGATACAGAATGACAAACACTTTTCCTGTGACCTCAGAGTCTTGTGTCATTTGAATGTTGAGAACAAGCTTTTCAGAAACATGAATAAATAAATGACACAGACACTGATATTGGGGTTCAAACCTCAGCTGAATATCAGAAAAGCAATGCAGCCAGTCTCTAGCTATCTCTTCTATCTCAGGTGAAAGGGCTGATCCATGAACAAGCTCTTCACCAAGTCTCAAACAGCTGCCCCTCCTTAGTGCAGCAGGAGAACAGGAAGCTTCTCTGAGATCTTGCTTCTGTCTTATACACTTCCCCAATATTGGAAATAATGGTGTGAGCTATAGTTTTCTTCAGGACTGATTCACTCTTGTTTAGAACTGGGTAGACATAAATTCACAGAGATGCATCTTCTGTAAATCCTGCGTCCTAGGAGTAAAGTTGTGTTCCTCCACCTCCTAGATGCTGGCTGCTGGGATTAAAGGTACGTGGCTTCTATGGCCTATGGCTGAAATTGTTTTCTGAATTCTCGGAAAAGCTGTAACTAGACATACACAATATCTCACCACTATTCCTTTCTTCAGTTCCTTGTTTTTTTTTTTTTTCTGTGATACTGTCTAGTATCGTGTTGTATTATAAATATTTGGGAAATATGTTGTTTGAATTCGTCATCTTACCTTGTTCTGATACCCTACCTTGCTTGGTGTTTAAAAGATATGCAAATGGAATGCAACATTTCTTTTAGGCATCCACTGACAGATAAGTCCATGGGGGCATTTCTCCTTTTTGCTCTGTCATTAAATTCAAAATTGTATTTAGATTTAAGACTTAAAGTCATTTTGAATATGAAGGGATTGGTGCCCTGTTTCAGAACCACTGTTTCCAGAAGTTGTCACCTCTGCAGAGATATTTTAACACAGATATAGCACAGTGGGGATGAATAGTCTGGTCAACACAACAAAGCCTGCGATGAACTACAATAAGGCAGGGAACATTGCACTGTCAAAATCAAGAATGCAAATATGGCCAGGGAATGGTGGCTACAATGCTTTTGCTCTGGCTACAGCAGCAACTCCTTGTAGACAGAGGCAAGGGAGTGGCTTATATGGGTTTGTGCAATTTGTACCACTGGGATTAGCAGCAGTCACATTCTCCTGTACTACAGTAAAAACAAGAAGCAGAACTCAATAAATCTCACAGATTTATGTAGTCTCTGTTTGCATGACATTGCACATTACTTCTTTGCTGCATTCTAGTAAACTAGAGGATTAGATATCTGTAACCACTTTGAAAGATGATGCTTTCTCCAGCTTTGTCCAAGTCAGGCAAACCTACTATGTGAAATCAAGGCTATTACAAGATCCTAATACGAAAACAAAACAGGTATTACCTGAGAATTAATACTAATATTGTTTTCAATTCTCCAAATACACGTATACCTGAGCTCCCAGGCACATAATATGCATAATTCTTTCCTACACACACACACACACACACACACACACACACACACACACACACACACAAACACAAACACAAATGATGTAATTTGCTATTTAGGTACATATGCTTTGGGAAATTCTAGCAGAATGTCATGAGAGTAAGAAGGAAAATGAAACAAAGTCCAAGCACCATTTTTTCCTTGGTTCCTGCTCACTTACTTTCACAGCTTCTTTAGAGAATGTGTGTTGAAAACTTATACTCATTTCTTTCTTTAAAATTGACAATAGAATTTATTTTGGATTTATTATTTTATTTATGGATAAAATACATGCTGGTTTATTCCTCCCTTATAATTAATCCTACTTGATCAAGCAGAATTATCCTATCTTCATGCTATCGAATTGTGATTCCTTTGCATGTTTTCATGATTAGAGGTTTTAACATAATGTTTACTATTGTATACCATTTCTTTGGTTTTTATATCAGAACAGTATACACCTCCTAGCATACTTGTTTTTGAGGATTTTGAATATTGCTTGGATGAATACCAATTTAAAATATGATGTAAATACCTGCTATAAGAATATTTGAGGGTGGGTAAGGAGCTCCCATAAAGCATTAACAGGGAAATTTCACTGATGCCCTTTACGTAAGTCACTCCTTATCATTATTTCCTTTAACCATTGATAGCACTGCAATCAATCATTCCTCTCAGAATCCATTGCAGTTTACTAATTTCCATACCTTTGAATTTACAAAATGGAAAATGCTTCTCAGAAAATACACAGACAATGCCCATGTATAAGAAAAAAACACATAAAATTTTATCTTCTGGGGTTTCTGTTATGTCATTCAGAATAATTGTATTCATCTCCATTCATTTCCTGTACCTTTCATATTTTCAGTTTCTCATGAGTTGAATAACATTACATTTTATAAATGTAACAAATGTTTATTTCCATGTCGATGTGTAAACTGATTCCATTTTCCAATTATTGTGAATCTAAAACCAAAGAAAAGAGATAGCCGATATCTCAGAAGTATGACATAGGTTCATTGAGCATGTGACCAAAAATGTAAAACAAGACCATATACTAAATCAATTTCTAGCTCATTTTATAACCTCCACATATACATTTTTATTATATTTCTTTTGTTGCACTCGTTTGTTGTTTTGCCTTTTGTTGTTTTCTGTTTTTTGGTTTTTTTGTTTTGTTTTTGTTTGTTTTTTTTTGTTTTGTTTTGTTTTCAGGAAGGGTTTCTCTATGTAGATCTGGCTGTACTGTAACTTACTCTACAGACCACCCATCATGTTAAATCTGGCATAGATTTCTTGTTTTTTTAATGTCAGTGTCATATTGTCTTTTTATTAATTTAGCTCTATAGAATTAGTTGAGCATGGGATGGTGAATACTTTGTGGCCTCTTATTGCTCAACATTTTTTTTCTATACTGTGACTTTTATATCTCCAAAAAAATTTACCATTTCTATTTTCCAATTGATTACAAGGCTTTTTGAGACAATTTTGATTGTTATTATATGAATCAGTAGCTTTTGGTAGGTTCACCATTCTCTTATTAATAACACTGCCAATACATAACCATGGAAGTCATATCAGGCTCCGATTTCCTCTTAAACATATTATTCAGCTTCTTAAGAGTCACTGTAGCCTTTATATATGTGTGTTTGAATTATATATGTATATAGAGAGATAGGTGAATTTATTGATTTATTGGTGGCATACTATTGTCTTATGAGTTTTTTCCTCAGGATGTTTGTTGATTAAGATTGTGTGTTTATTTTCAAAGCTTCATCTTTGTTTAATGCACTTATCAGTAGAAAGAGGGTTCTGGTAATGCATTTAGAAACTTTTCCAAATATAGTTAATTATACAATATTCAAATAATAATCCTTTAACTTTCTCCGTTGCTGTTTCTATTGCCTTTTCTTCTTTTATGGCTCTGATTTCCCTAGCTAACACTTCCATTAGTCTACTGAATAGGAAGGAGAAGAATGAGTATCCTTGTCTTGTTCCAAATTTTAACAAAATGCATTTGAGTTTCTTTTAATTTAGCATTTTGTTAACTCTTGGCTTGAGGTGTGACATATCCCCTCAATCCCAGCAGTAGCCATTTTTCTAAAGAAAATCAACTCTTGCTCCTGAATACATCAATGGCACTAGCACCTCATCTAGGATTGCATCAGTGGGAGCCCCTCCACCCTCCATGCTTGAATATGTGCTCCATATAGTGAGGACTATTTATGTAACTACAGCTGCTGGTAAGTCATGATTACAGTAGCTTAGTCATGTATAGAGGAAAATATTTCACAGCATTCCTCCCTATTCTTTAGCTCTTATTTTCTGTACACAACCTTTATCAGGAGTCCTTACAAAGATTATTATAAATAACACCTTTATAGCTGAGTTATCATAGTGGCTTTTTCTCGGTGCTTTCTGTAATTATTCAAGAATGAATTGACCAGTACAACCTTCAATAAGAATCATGTCTAATCAAGATTGACAACAACACAAATCTCTGGATATTAACAAAAATATTAACAAGGCAATTTGGCAAAATGACTATTTATAAAACGTCAATGGGCTTTCCTGTAAGACTTACAGCTTCCTTACCCATTGTTTTTGTTTCCTTTCTTTGGTTTGTTTGTTTATTTTGGGTGGAGGTTGCCACCATATTTAAAGGCCCTAGTCTAAATATCCTTTGTTGTATCAATACCAATCAAGAAAAAAGATAGTTAC